AACTCCAGTTCCAGAGGAGTCAGCGCTCCCTGTGGGCATCAGGTACACACATGGTGCAGGCAAAGCACTCATACAGATAAATTTTAAGCTTTTCTTTTGTTTTTTTGAGACGGGAGGGGGGCATGGGAAGGGGGTGGGGGTCGTGGGAAGGGTTCATGGGTGGTCATGGCGGTGTGGGGGTGTTGGGAGTGGGCCAGGGGCTTCCATGGGGAGTTGATGGGGGTGTGGGAAGGGGGTGTGTGGGCAGGTATGCAGGGTGGAGGTGGAAGAGTGGGGAGTTAAAAGTCAGCCTCAGCTACATAGTGAATTTCAGAACAGAGTAACAGGAGACCTGTCTCCAGTCAGTTTATTGTTAGCTAATTAATGAAACACTAATAATTGAATAATCCACCAATGAAGAGGCCCAGCAAGTGTGCTTATGGGCATTGGCCTCTAGAGGGTGCCACCGCTCAGCTGGCAAAACCACTTGGGGCCTGTGTGACCAGGAAGATTCCATTTCCCATTGCACATTCATAAACTGGGAAGAGAGGACTAGAATGGGCTGGGTAATTTTCTTTTTTTTTTTCAATATTTATTTGTTTGTTTGTTTGTTATGTATACAGTGTTCTGCCCAGGCCAGAAGAGAGTACCAGGTCTCATTACAGATGGTGAGCCACTATGTGGTTGCTGGGAATTGAACTCAGGACCTCTAGAAGAGCAGCCAGTGCTCTTAACTTCTGAGCCATCTCTCCAGCCCCTGGTAATTTTATTATGCTAACAGTTTAAATAGTTTAATTAATTCTCTCTCTGTGTGTCTGTCTGTCTGTCTGTCTGTCTTTTAAGGCAGGGCCTCATTATGTGGTGCAGGTTGTCCAGGATCAAAGTCTGCCACAATGCTAGGCTTAATTCATTTTACATGTTACTTTTAATTTATATATAGTCCAGGCTAGACTCCAAGCCTCTATGTCGTGAAGTCTTACACTTCCTGAGTGCTGGAATGACAGGCCTGAGCCACCGGTCTACATTGCCTGGCTTTGTTATTTGTTTTTTGTTTTGATTTGGTTTTTCTTTGTTTTGTTTTTATTTTTTTATTTGTTGTTTAAATATAGACACAGGTGTCACTTTTATCCAGACTGACATTGAACTAATAGCAATCCTCCTGCCTGCACCTCCTGAGTGCTCAGAGGACAGGTTGTGCCATCATATCCCTAGCAGGTTCTCAATGGGAGGACCAGGGCAAGAGTGTGGAGCATTGGTAGGGCTCCTGCCTACCCTGAATGGGGTCTTGGGCTCTAAGCTGAGCACCAAGGATACAGGGAGAGCGGAGACTCAGCAGTTAGAGCATGGGCTGCTCTCTCAGAGGACCCAGGTTCAATTCCCAGCATGGTGGTTCACAATTGTAACTCAGCTCCAGGGGACCAGGCAACCCTTCTGGCCTCTGCAGGGACCAAATGTGCACGGTATGCAGACATAATTTTAAAAAATAAGTGAGACAGGGGTTCTCTGTGTAGCTCTAGCCGTCCTGGAACTCACTCTGTAGACCAGGCTGTCCTGGAACTCAGAGATCCTCTTGCTCCTGCCTCCTGAGTGCTGGGATTAAAGGAGGTCACCACCATCACCCAGCTAAATGATGCTCTTTTAAATTGGTGTTGAACAAGATCTCAGCAGGTGGCCGGGCATTGGTGGTACATGACTCTCTGTGAGTTCGAGGCCAGCCTGGTCTTCAAAGAGAGTTCCAGGACAGCCTCCAAACCTTCAGAGAAACCCTGTCTCCAAAAACCAAAAAGAAAACAATAAAAGATCTCAGCAGGTATCATGAAATCCCTTTCATACCAGCAGTCAAAAGACTGAGGCAGGAGGAGTGAGTCCCTATCACAGCAACCTGTGCGACACCAGGTAACCCCACACCCCTGCAGCTCTATGGCCGGTGCTGAGATGGAGAATCAGCATCCGGTCCCTGCAACCCCTTTCGCCTGGCATCAGGGTTCACTGTAACCTTCGCACCCCTCAGCCATAAAGCAATTACTAATGAGACGGTGGCTAGACGTGGCGGGCTGGGGCAGGGACAGCCAAGTGCGTGTCGGAAATGGCTCTGAGGCTGTCCCGTGTGGCGCTGAACTGGGCAGAAGCCGGCAACCTTCTTCATCCTGTCAGCAAAGGAGGACCCAGGCACCCATCTTGGTGCCTTCCTGTTCTGTCCTCACCCTGTCTCCTGGAGAACCTTCTAAAGCCATCCCCACTGTGGGACTTGATGCTGCAGGGATCTCTCTACAAGCCATTCTGTGCTCTCGTGGTCAGACCGTTGGTCACCTGCCCACCCTGTCCTCTCCAGCACTCTGACCAAAGCTCACGCATTGCGACCCCACAGGCCTCTGGGTTAGCCTCTAAACTCAGGTCTTTGTACAGGCGGTTCGTGGCTGTAAACAGTTTCACCCACCCCGCCCACTTTCTTCCCTCCGCAGGTTCTTTGCCTCCTGAATCTCCTGTCTGCACCCCTGAGTGCTTTGATGCCTCCACACCTGGCTCTACCATGAATCTGGGGGGGGGGCATCGGGGGCATCTACCGTCGTGAGAAGTGGGGAACAATTTCTTAGACCCAAGAGAGACCAGAGTCCCCTGTGGCCATCCAGCCACACCCTATCACTATCTCAAGAGGGTTACTCACACCTAGCTGTATTCCAAGGAAGGAACCTGGAGAGGGAGGAGGCAGGGGAATCTTGGTGGCCTGTACGCCCATCCTCCCCAGCAGCTGTCCCAAATGCAAAGGTCAGAGGGGCTCAGGTGAGCAGGTAAGAACATCGGACCTGGGAGTGGCCTGGCCTGCCATCAGGGGCCATGGTGAGTCAGGTGCTCTGTCCCTCGCACAGTGCAGTCTGTCCTGACACACCCAGGACCGAGGGATCAGGCTGCCAGGGAGGGACAGAGACGGCCCCTGAACGTCACCATCACAAGACGGTGGCTGTGAGCTTCTTGCAGACACGCCTTGTCATAAAGTAGCCAGCAAAGGACAGACCTAGTTAATAACGAATTAATTAATTACTGGCTTTAACTTTTGCAGAACTAGGGGTGGAGCTCTGTGCCTCTTGGCATGATGGGGAAGAATTCATGACTCAGCCACGCCCCCAGTCCCTCACTGGGATTTCTAGACAGGGCTCCACCCCTAACCACGCCCCCAGCCCCTCACTGGGAGATTGGGGGAGGGTGCTCTTGAGTTATACTATGCCCCAGGTTCTCCTTTTGCTTTTGTTTATTTTTAATTTGTTTTATTTTATTATTTTTTAAACATTTTTTATTTAAGATTATTTATACATATTTAAGATTTATACATATTTTTAAATATGTATATGGTGTTCTGCAGGTCAGAGAGGGCACCAGATCTCATAATGGATGGTTGTGAGCCACCATGTGGTTGCTGGGAATTGAACCCAGGACCTTTGGAAGAGAAGGCAGTGCTCTTAACCTCTGAGCCATCTCTCCAGCCCGCTTTTGTTTCTTTTTATTAGTTTTTTGTTTGTTTGGTTGGCTTTGGTTTTTGAGACAGGGTTTCTGTGTAGCCCTGGCTATCCTGGAACTAACTCTGTAGACCAGGCTGGCCTGGAACTCAGAGATCTGCCTGCCTCTGCCTCCTGAGTGCTGGAGTTAAAGGTGAGCCCCAGCACAATAGGTTCCCTTGCATTTAAAATCTTCCTGCTTGGTGCTTTGGAGGAGCTGGGAACATAGGCCTCTGCCAGCAGGTGGTCATCCTTTGGCATCAGCAGTGTGGCAAGAAGCCATCACTCAAATGACTGAAGAGCAATCCCTATTCACTCATGATCACGCATTTTGGCCAAAGCAAATACAACTCTAGGAAGCAAACACAGAGAGAGGCCCCTGGGGACAGCGAGAGAAGCAGGGGCCAGGGCCCTGTGGCATCCAGAGGGGCTGCAACTATGCTACATTGTGTTCTGTGGGACATCCTGGGCCCTGCCAGGCACAGAGCAGTGTCCCTGGCCTCCACTCACTCAAGGTCCCTGCCAAAATACATTTCTCCTGATGCTATCCTTGGCCCCTCATCCAATTGCTGAGTTACCCCCAGCTTCCTGCTAGATTTAGTCCATCCTAAGGTCCTGGACAACCCTCACAGCCCTACACGTCCTGTCCAGTCCTCCCCTTCTTCCTCCTCTCCTCACTCTGGCTGTGTTACCCTATCACTGCTCTGTCATCTCAGCTCCAACTGTCCCTCCTCAGAGTTCTCCCTGACCTCTTCAGCTCAAGCTGTGCCGCAGTCCAGCACTTTGCTTTATGCCTTTCTGGTGCAGTTAGAGATGGAGTATGTGTTTACTTACCTCCCCTGAGCATGTCATCTTTTTGTTTGTTTGTTGGTTTGTTTTTCGAGACAGGGTTTCTCTGTAGCCTTTGGAGCCTGTCCTGGAACTCACTCTATAGACCAGGCTGGTCTTGAACTCACAGAGATCCACCTGTCTGCTTCCTGAGTGAGCCACGGTTAACTGTGCGCCACCACTGTCCCCTCCAGCTCTGGAGGGTCCTCAATGCTCCTCCAAGCTTGCAGCTCCACGCAGCCTTTGCACGGGCTACCTCTTTAGCCTGAAGCACCTGTCAAGGGTTCTCCCATTCAGGGCTCCAGGTGGTCCTCACTTCTCACTGTGGAGTCTTTTGGTTTCTTGGTGGCATTTGTCTCTCAAGTTGTCACTCATCTTTCTACCCATCTCAGTGCAGGCTACTTGTGGATTGATTATTCACACCTAATCTGGTGGTTGTACACAGTGAGCAAGCATCAATTGAGCATCATGTATGCCACTCTCTTCTGGACACCAGCAGTTAATAATGACCTATAGAATTTATCCTGGCAGCTGGGCGTTGTTGGCGCACGCCTTTAATCCCAGCACTCGGGAGGCAGA